GTGCCCCTCAACGGGAGAGGCCACAGGGGGGAGAGGCCCGCATACCACAAAAAAAAAAAAAAAAAAGACAAACTCAGTCTGGGAAAACAGTCATCAAAGTGGATTCAGTTTAACATCCCTGGCCCCCAGTTACCCCATCTATAAAATGGGGGATAATACCATTCACTTTAGAGGGTCACTTAGGTTTAAATGACCAAACATATGTCAAAGGTCCAGCACACAACTAGCACGAATTAGGTATTCAAGCAATGGCAGGGACTTCCCTGGTGGCGCAGTGGTTGGGAATCTGCCTGCCAATGCAGGGGCCACGGGTTCGAGCCCTGGTCTTGAAAGATCCCACATGCCGCAGAGCAGCTAGGCCCCGGTGCCACAACTACTGAGCCTGTGCTCTGGAGCCCGCGAGCCACAGCTACTGAGGCCTGTGCACCTAGAGCTCGTGCTCCACAACAAGAGAGGCCACCGCAATGAGAAGCCCATGCACCGTGACAAAGAGTACTGCCCATGTGCAGCAGTAAAGACACAGTGCAGCCAAATAAATAAATATAAATAAATTTATTTTTTAAAAAAGCAATGGCAGCTGTTACTACTGTTACCATTCCTTCCTGTAACAATAAATGTTTTAAAATATCATCATAAAGGCTGGTTAAATAAATTAGAGACATGCACAAGTGTGCGATACAAAAGAAAGAGGAAACTCTTAACTGATGTGGGGTAATCTCTAAGATGTTTTAATGGGGAAAAGCAAGGTGGTATACAGCATGCTACCACAGAGAGTGGTGACTGGATCACCGTTTGAAAAAAGCAGCTGGAAGACATTTGGGGGAACATCTGAGATAACATAAATACTTTTAGACTAGATATTGTATGATATCAGGGAACTCTTGTTCGTCTTCTTGGTTGCAATAACAGTAGGAAGCTGTGTGCTGAAGTATTTGGGGGTGAAGAGTCACAATGTCTATAATATAATCTACTTTCAAATGATTCAGCCAAAAAACCAACCAACCAAAAAAACAAAAACAAACAAAAAGAAAACAAAAACCATACACACACACAGAAAAACTCCACATACGCATCTATCACATGTACAGATAAATATGGCAAAATGTTAATGATTGTTGACTCCGAGTGGTGGGTTTATGGTATTCGTTGTACTATTCTTTCAACGCTTCTGAATGTCTGAAATTGGAGGGAGAGAATATACACATATGTGCTGGTGTGATTACAAAATATCTCTAGAGGATACATAAGAAACTGGAAGTACTGGTTGCCTGTGGAGGAAACAACACAGGCGGAAGAGAGGCTTTAAGTCCTTTGGTACCTTTTAATTTTTGTACCATATGAATGTATTACTTACTAAAACAAAATTAAAATTAAAATCGCCAAGACATATTTATACAGGGCTTTATACATTCCAGAGGGACTTCCCTGGTGGTCCAGTGGTAAAGTCCCCTTCCAAGGCAGGGGACGCAGGTTCGATCCCTGGTTGGGAAACTAAGATCCCACATGCCACGGGGCAACTAAGCCCGCGTGCCCCAACTACTGAGCCCGTGCGTCTCAACTAGACAGCCCACGTGCTGCAAACTACAGAGCCCATGCACTCTGGAACCCGCGCACCACAACTAGAAAGAGAAAACGCGCACACTACAACTAGAGAGAAGCCTGCATGCTGCAACGAAGCGCCAGCGCGCCGCAGCAAAAGATCGCGTGTGCTGCAAGTAAGACCCACCACAGACAAAAGTAACAAATAAATAAAATAAATATACATTCCAGTGTTTTCAAGCGATGCTCTCATTTGATCATTACGATTCCCAGGTGAGCTACCACCCCACCAGCACAGATGTCCCACGCATGTTCCCTTTTCCTACACCGAGAAACCTCCACCATTTCCCTCCTAATTCTTCCCATTCCCTCCAACCACCTTTCCTAACCAACCCAGACCTGCTTTTGTTCTTCCCAAGCGGGATAAGAGAATGCTCTCTCTCTCTGTTGTCTCTATATTTTCAAGGATTTTTTTGTTTTTGTTTTTTTTCAATTTTTTTTTTTTGTGGTACGCGGGCCTCTCACTGCTGTGGCCTCTCCCGTTGCGGAGCACAGGCTCCAAACGCGTAGGCTCAGCAGCCATGGCTCACGGGCCCAGCCCCTCTGCAGCATGTGGGATCTTCTTGGACCGGGGCACGAACCTGTGTCCCTTGTATCGGCAGGTGGACTCTCAACCACTGTGCCACCAGGGAAGCCCTCAAGGTTTTCTTGTTTTTGTTTTTCTGGAAATTGATTGCCATGGAACAATAATGAAATATTTCATTGTTTTCCACAGAAATTTTTAGTGTTTAGCTCATGGCCTAAAAGTCAGATAATACGTAACATTTCATCTGGGGTGAAGATATGTCCGTTAATTGACCTTGATCACTGTAGCTCAGTTAGAAAAAACGCTCATGTTAAACTGATTTCTACACCCTTCTTAATCTCAACCCAACAACTGCCCCAAATACACCCTATGGCTCTTCCTCCGAAACCCTTTTGTAGAGCAGCTTTCCTTAGCCAGGCAAGGTCGGTAAGGGCTGCTTGCAACGTTCAAAGATATGGGAGATAAAACCACGATGAGATCGCAAGAACCTCGGGCAGAGAGCTGACAAGAGTGCTCATACATGTGCTCTGCCTCTCTTTACTCTCTAGTCTGGGGAGAATTTGCCTGGAAACCTGTGTTTGTGGGGCAACTTGATCAAGTTTGCTCTGAACAGATGTTGGCATTTACTACACTTATTAATACAGACAGTTGGAGGAACTGGGAAATGGGGAAGGGTTTTGAGAAGGATTTTTGCCAAAGGAAAACTCGCTCGCTTGCACTCTCTGTGAAAGCTGTGAAGTTGTGACCAAGGCCGTGGGCCTCACAGACTCCTACTCTCTGGCCAGGAAGATCAAAGGGGCCCAAATGCGAGCTTCGAAACATGATCCAGCCCAGAAGCCTCTGCTCCCTTCCCTTTTCAGTTCACCTACATGATGAGCTGCTTAAAAATCTATTTCCCACTAGACTGTAAGCTCTATGGGAGCTCAGGACACCCTGTTCACTGCTCTGTCTTCAGGCCTGGCACAGTGATAGGCATGCAGAAGCTTCTCAGCAAATAGCTGTGGGACTGCTTGACACCGGTTCCAGGCTTCAGAAGAGGCCACCTCTCAGGCCCCTCAATGGCTATCTGCGCTCTCCATTTCCTCCCCAGGCCGCCCCATCTCTCAGGGTGCTGCCTGGTGTCATCTCAAAGTAGCCCAACTCCAGGAGGAAACACTTCTGAAGGTAATAAGAAATGCCCCAGGAGAAACCCTCCCTTACCCCTCTCCGAAAATTAAGAGAGGTCTGCAAATGGCACCTTGGTTTCTGCTTAGAGGACCTCCTCCTGGCCTAAGCTAGGAGAAAGATCATGGTACGCTCCTTGAGAAGGCTGGGCACCCCTGCAAAACTTGTCGTTCTTGTCCAATTTCAAAGCCCTGAACCAAAAGGCCCTGTCTCAGAAGAGTTTCAGATGCTTGCATGTGCCCGCAGCCCCGGAGCCCGGCTGAAGCGCGCCCTCAGCAGCGCCTCGCTCACCATAAGCATGCAGAAGTCAGGCAGATGGCCGGTCATGCCGAAGACAGTGGTCTTCAGGTACTTCTCGTGGCCGGCCAAGTCGATGAACGTGATCACCTTAGTGGATTTCTCACAGATCCTTGTCCACTCCAGGCTGCCACCATGGCTGTCTGGCTTGTTTACCACATTGCCTTCACTGTCAAAGCCCAGAATGTCGTTGCCGACACTGCTGGTGCGACCAGATTCAATCTCGTGTTTGTGGCGGAAGAGCTTCTGGCGGGCGAAGCCTCTGCCATTGTCCAGCTCCCCGTGGGTCAGGACCCCCAGAAGCGTGCTTTTGCCGGCATCCACGTTGCCCACTACCGCTACCCTGTGTGAACACAAACCCATACATTTGTGTGAGACTTGGTGAGTGAGTGAAGTGGACCTCAGCAACCGGATCCATAAGGACAGGCTCAGCCCTGAGCCTCTCCAGCTCTCTACTCCTTCTATTCATGGATGAGCACATTAGAAATGCTCTTGGGGCTATATCCGGGGAGCAGAAAGTCACTCAGGAGGAGCTGAGTTCCCACCGCAACGACGTTCTCCCTTAACTTCCACGAGCCTTCCCAAGGCTGCCAGACAGAAGCCCTAAAGCCAAGAGGGGAACGAAATGCTCTCCTCCGCTACCCTGGGTTCACGCCTCCCAGCCTGAAGGGAGAGCACACGCAGCCCACAAAATGGCCACAGAACATATGGTTGGCCTCTCTCCCACTCTTTCCAAATGG